AAAGGCACTAACCAGACGAGCCCAGGTTCCCTTTGTTCTTAGCCCCACAGCAGCTAGCTCCCCTCTCCATGCCCGACGAGCCAGTCAGAAGTGCCACCGGCAGCCATGGTCCTCGAGTGACCCCCTTTCCCAGCGAACGAGCAGAGTGTTTGGCCGCTGGCCATGCATGTTCCAGACTCGACTTGTGCCTGAAGCTGCAACTGGAGGGATAAGGCCGGAGCAAGTGACCGAGTGGGATGGCACGGGATTAAAGGGACAGTCGCTGGGGGCAGCCCCTGATGGACAGGGAGACGACAGGCAGGGCCTGGCATTCAGGGATCCAGGGAGAGCTTCGGGAGTCAAGACTGGCTCTCAGAGAGACTGAGGTGGGGTCGGGGTAGGTAGAGATACAAAACTTGTAATGCCTGGCCTTGGGTGCCAGCAGGAGGGGACGGGGGACAGGCGGTCAGGAAACCTTGACCTTCAGCATGCTTGTACTGCAGTCCAGGCTACTGATCCCACGATTCTAAGGAGTGCTGGGCTGCTTGATCTTGACTCAACATTATCAGCAATTCAGAGGGGACAGCCTGTGCCGTCACCTACAGCCCAACCCCCAAACCAACTCACTGCCATCCAGTTGATGGCAACTCGTAGGGTGACAAGTGAGGCTGCTAACTGTCAGGCCAGGAGTTCAAAACCACCAGCCACTCCTGGGGAGAAGAATGGAGTTTTCTACTCTTGTAAAGAGTTACAGTCAGGGAAACCCTCCGGGGCAGTTCCACCCTGATCTGTAGGGTCACTATGAGTCAGCCTGGACTCAAGGGCAGGGAGTCTGGGTGGACATATATACTATTGACATATATGCATAGAGTTGACATGTCTATTACCTGGCCCTTGAGGAGAAAGTTTGTTGATTCCTGACCTACAGGAAGCTGTCTTATTAGTTAATCCCTTACTACAAATTCTCCCAGTGGCATGGAAAGATAGACACATCGACAATTTTCATGCTTATTTGGTGTTGTTCCTGAAACAAACACTCACAACGACTCCTGTTATTATCATGATTTAACTGCGTTTGCCAACCCCCAGTACGATATCAGGAGCCCTGGTGGCAGGCGCTGTCCGGTAAGCGCACCAGAAGGTTGGTGGTTCAAAACCACGGACCGCCGGGCAGGATAAAGGTGAGGTTGTTGGCTCTGGTCAAGATGTACAGACTCAGAAGCCTTTTCTAGAGTGGCCACAAGTCGGAACGGCCCTGGCTGGCAGTGGGTTTGGTTTGGGTGGATGGACGCTGTGTGATAGGCTGGCCATGCCATCAGCAGGGGCCAGTCCCTGGAGAGGGACGTCGGGCTCGGTCGAGCAGAGGGTCAGCGGCAAAGAGGAAGGCCCTCGAGCAAGCATGAACACAGTGGTGACCACGGTGGTTCCGGCACAGCCAGGGCTGAGGGTGGCGCACGACGGGGCAGGGCTTGGTTCTGCCGAGGGTCACCCTGAGCGGACACCAACTCGGTGCCTACTCTCGTCAACAGGGATGGAGACTGGGAAGGACCCGGCAACTTTACTTACATGTCCCCTTCTTTGCTCAAAAACCAAACACAGTGCCCTCGAGTCATGTGGACATGTAGCAACCCTGGAGGGCAGGGAAGAACGGCCCCGCGGGTGACCCAGACCGCAGCTGTTCCAGGAGTCGAAAGCCCTGCCTGTCTCCCAAGGAGCTGGCTGGTTTTGAACTGCTGACCTTGCAGACCGTGGTCCAGTATGTTAACCACTGCGCCATTAGGGCTCCTCTGAATTTGCTAGTGAGCTCCAAGGATGCATTTTGTAAAATGTCTGTTGCTAGGCTTTGTCATCTCATTCACTGGCTGCCATGGCTTTCACAGCACTTTCTACATACAGGGTCCCTGATGTCAGAGGTACAGCAGGTCTTCCTTCCAACTTACACACATCATTAAGGCCACTTGGGTTTTATGGAGTCAAATACATCCGTGCCCCCGCCCCTCCCTCCCGGCCTTCATGGCACCTGTGTATAAGGACATGCTTGTAAAGTTATTCTCAACCTGGTGATTAAATATTCAGACCCTCCCCCCTGGTCTGGTCCAGCTTAACTTCCTCCATTTAAATAGTTGTTGTTGTTGTTGCTAGGTGCCATGGACTAGGCCTGACCCGAATCAACCCGTGCACGACAGAGGCAAACAGCGCCCGTTCCTGCGCCATCATCACCATCGTCCACAGGCGCAGCCACTGTGTTCGTCCATCTTGCCGGGGGTCTTCCTCTTTGTCGCTGCCCCCCAACTTTACCGAGCACCTTCTGCAGGGACTGGTCTCTCCTGACAACATGTCCCACGTACATGAGATGAAGTCTCCCCATCGTTGGCCACAGGTGCGTTCTGGACTGGTCTCTGAGTGTGCTCTCAGGAAGCCTCAGTGCCCGGCTGTGATCCTGGGCTGCAGACCTGATGCGTGCTGGGAATTTGGATAATTTGCTTGGCCTCCTCCTCCAGTTGGGGGACATCCAGGGGTCCCCTGAAAAGAGCACCGGACACCTAAGGCTCATTCAGCAAATGTGCCCTTATTCTGTGGTTTAAGTCACCACTGTCTCGTCCTATTTTCTATAACCCCCTCATGTTTTAGCATTTGTTCCTTACAGCCTGACGTTTACCCAGTAGGGCCAGCTCTCCATTGTTGCACTTGCCATTAGGTGACATCGAGTGGTTCTGGCCCATAGCGACCTGTCATCCTAAAGAATGAAGCACTGCCCGGTCCTGCACCATCCCCACAATTGTCCCTGAGCCCAAGCACATGGTTGCAGCCACTGTGCCGATCTAACCTCATCCAGGGCCTTCCTCTTTCTTGTTGCCCCTCCACTTTACCAACCATGAGATCTACCCTTTTCTCCAGGGACGTCATTAGACGTCTTCTCAAATGCTTGGATATTTCTGTGCGTGCATTCTTCCAGGTAAAGTCGGGGCCCAGTCTGTCAGCTGCACAGGGGGTTAGATTTTCATGGGAACACATGACCTCCTGTCTGGAAGATTGGGAAGGCGCTGTTTGCACTTCATGGAGTCTGTCTGCCCAGGCACGGCATCCACTTACCTATTTGCTCCCGTCTTTGTCCACGTTCCCTGGTGAAAGTTTGTCAAGATAGTTCTGTGCACTTCCCATTATGTTCTTGGGGTGCATCTTCTGGGGGATGTCCCCTGAACACCATGCCACTGACTTCTATTTACCACCCGCTTTCTTACACGCGCTGGGATGTGCAGAGTGCAGGTCTCTCAATGGCTTGGCTCTTGGCTGGATGCCCCTTGTGATAGGCTAATTGTGCCACCCTGGCCAATAGGAACATGTGGGATTAATCAGGTCACAGTGTGATTGGAGGGCAAAGAGATAAAGGGCAGTGCAAGGCCCGCCCTCCTCTTTCTTGCTCTCTGGTGACCGGACCAGCGTGCAGCTGCTTTAGCTAGTTCTCTGCTTAAACCTGTGAACTACACTACCTGTGGGCCAAGCCAACCCATGGATCATGTCCTTAGAGCTTGAGCCTCCTTTGAGACCTGCTTTGCCACACTACTGGGGTGTGCATCGCTTGAGCTTGAGGCTGGTGGAGCCTGTTGCCTTGCGTTGCTTGAGTTCGATATCCCATTGGGTCTGCTTCGCTAAGCTCCTGAGCTGCTGACTGTTGGTGACCCGCCCTGCTGCCTGCTGCCTGTGGGCAGACTCTGCCTGCCTTGCCCGAGGAAGGACACAGCTGTCTGCTTCATTGACTTTGGTCCCAACAGCCCACGTGAATTGAAGGACTTCCAGTATAGTAACTGTTCCATGGGAGTGAGTTTCACTGAGCCCTCTGTCCTGCTGTGCGGGCTAATCGGCGGTTATATTCATCCTCGCTGAATAAACCTGTCTCTCTCTATAAACTCCTAAGTGTCCTGGTCTCCTTCCTCTCGAGAACCCAGCCTAACACACCCCTCTTCACGGACGCGTCTCAACAGGAACGTCGCATCAGGGGCTGTTGAGGCCCGGCCAGCTCTCGCGGATCTCTGAACAAGGCGGGTTCCAAAGTGTACGGAGAAATTCTGTTATCACTTAATCCCATTCTCCCACAAACCCTTTGCTGCCACCTGGCGTTCGAACCGCTCCGTCAGGGTTCCCTGGCAGTTCCCTTCACAGAGGTAGTCTGCCAGGCCTTTCTTCCTCAAACCTGCCGGGGGTGGGGTGTGGGGTGTGGCTCTGTCCACAGCTCCAAGCAGGCCATTTGGGAAAGGACCTAACCCCACAGAACAAACGCCTTGCTGTAGGCTCAGATCCCAACTCCGGGCAACTGGACGGGGCCAGGTGGAACTGCCCCATAGAGTTTCCTTACGGAAGCAGGCAGCCTCCTCTGTCTCCCTTGGAGCGGATGGTGGGTTGGAACTGCAGACCTTGCAGGGAGCACCCCACCAACAGGCCTGCTTTAAGAATATAAACTCTCCCTGCCGGCTCATAGCAACCCTCTAGGACAGGGCAGAACTGCTCCTGTGAGGTTCTGAGACTGTAACCGTTTTGGGGGTAGCAAGCCCTGCCTCTCTCCCGAGGAGAAGCTGGGGGTTTCCGTGCTGGCTTTCCAGACGGCAGGCTCCTCTGAGAATAGACACTCTCACTGCCTTCAAGTCCAGGCTGACTCATAGCGACCATTTCAGACCCAGCAGAACTGCCCCTGGGGGTTCCTGAGATCGTGACTGCTCATGGGAGCAGAGAGCCCCACCTTTCTCCCAAGGAGTGGCTGGTGGTTTCAAACTGCCGACCTTCTGGATCACATCGCTGCTCTAACACCAGTGCACTTTAAGAACACAAGGGCTCTTGGGAATTTACAAAGGAGCTTGAGCACTGCACTGTCATCCTGTCTTCCACAGGGCCACCTTCAAAGAAGGGTGAAGATATTCGTGGACGCCGGAAGCATCGCCCAGTCAGCAGCCCGGGCCTAATCCCCCAGGGAGCCGTGGACTAGGGGCTGGGAGGAGGTGTGACGTCATGCTCTTGGGGGTCAGTACCTGTTGAGGTGTCTTGTTGGAAAAAATGAGAGCTGAGCCTCCTTCTTCCACCTTAGGATAGGCTGGGAAGGCGCCGGTCAAGTTCCTGAGGGTGGGGGAGGGGACAAAGGCAAGTTAAGACGGAAAGGACGCAGCCCACCCTGTTCTCCACCCCCACTTGACGGCTCTGCTTGTATATGGACTTGACCAGTGAGTGGTCAGGGGGCTTGGAGTTGTCAGAAGACCCAGCCATGGTCAGGGGACCCAGCAATGGCCAGGGGGTCAGACGATAGTCAGGGGGCTCAGTGTTGGTCAGGGTACCCAGCCACGGTCAGAGGTGGGGCACCCAGTAAGCAAGGGAAGTACAGGTTAGCGGGCGCTTCCTTGCAGATGTGTCCTGAACACTTTTACCTGGGATGTGGTGCAAAGCACAGGAGTGGTTCACGACAGATTCTCAGTGAGCACAAGTAAGGCCCGGGCTAACCTTGCTGACCGGGTGCCCAGCCCCTGTCGGCAACTGTAACTTAGGAAAAGCGGCTTGGATTCTGGGGCTGTGGTTTGGGGGAGACACAGACACCAGCCTGTAGGAGAGCAGGGTCTCTGATGGGGTGAACCCGATTGAAAGTGTGCCCCACAGATTGGTAAGTAAGCACAAGTCAGCTCAAGCTTCCTTTGCTGGTTTGTCGGACAACCATCAGGCACTGGTGATGTGTGTGTGTGTGTGTGTGTGTGTGTGTGTGTGTGTGTGTGTCCTGGGCCCAACGGCAGGTTGGATATGGAGCTTCTAAGGAGCAGAAGGAAACCCGGAAAGTAGAGGGCTTCTTTCATTGTAGGATGGCGAGTATCAGACAAACCCATCTCTCATCCCTACAGACCACTTCTCCCACGCCCCGCCCCGGGTCACTTTCTTTTTAGTTTAACTAGCGAGCCATTCGGTGCTTAAGAAGGAAGACAGAAACACAACTCCCTTCTCCCTGTTTGAAGCTGGGGATAAACATGGGGCTTTGGAAGGAAACCGCAGGCCGGACTGGTTCAGAGGATGGATTCGTGCCTGAGCCTGAGGCGCACTCCGAGGTGTGCCCTTTACACCACAGTTATGTTCAGAGGCTGTCCCAGGAGCAGTCTTGTGACTTTCTGTAATCTTATGATTTCTGCTTTGAAACTGTGTGTGTGTGTGTGTGTGTGTGTGTGTGGTGTTAAGAGGGACGCACAGTTGATATTTCAAAGAGTAATTGGCTTCGGCAAGTGTTCTACTTACTGCACGTTCATGGTGTTTAAAATCTAATGGTCCGACAGGCTGTCATGTTTAACGTGCCTCTCCCAGACAGTTCTCAAACTCCCGTCCCCAGGACCCCTTCACGCTCCTAAAATTACTGGAAGGCCCCTTACGTGCTGTGAGCTGTATCTACTGACATTGAATGCATTCAAAATCCAAGTGGAGAAATGCCTAGAATCCGTCCCTGTAGCTTGTTTAAAAACACCTGTGCGGTTGTTAGGGGCTGTCAAGTCCGTGCGGAAAGCAGGTGAAGCCCTGCCCGTAGCGTGCC